CTAAGAGTGGCACCAGCTGACAGCCAGCAAGAAAACAGAAACCTGTCCCATGACCGTAAGGAACTGAATTCTGCCAAAACCCACGAGTTTGGAAGAGAACCCCGAGCTTCAGAAAGGGACACAGCCCATCCAACATCTTGACTGCAGCCTGAGATCCTGAGCAGAGGACCCAGCTAAGGCATGCCTGCACTCCTGACCCACAGAAAATGTGAAATAATAAATGGGTGTTGTCGTAAGCCGCTAAGTTTGTGTCAATTTGTTATGCAGCAAAAGATAGCCAGTACATCAGTGTATAGTATTGTTAAAGCCTGGGAGCCAAGATGGTTCAAACAGTCCAGGCAAGGAGTCAATGACTACGATTGGAGATCAGACATACTTCCTTCCCAACCTCCAACTGCGCAGAACTTGGGTTTCCTACTCCTTCCAGCCACTAGGTGTCCCCATAAGCAGGTCGCACCTCACCTTTCACAGGTCAGAATCTGAAATGGAAGGAAACAAACAAAAAAAAGTTTCCAACACTCCCACCCCACCCCCCAACTTTACATATGCGAAAACAGGCTGGCAAAAGGGAAGAGCGTTGCCCAACGTCCCACTGTGCTCTAGAACTATCTCCCGGCCAGGAACTTTACTCTCCTGCCACCCTGCCTCCCTCCCAGGCCATTCTGAAGGACAAGCACAGATAACCCCCCTCCCTCCCTCCCTCCCTCTCAAGGCTGTCTGGAGCAGGACCTCGTCGCTTTGACCAGGGGAGGGACTGCAAGTGACAACTGCATCGGTGGAAGGCTCTGGAATGACTTGTGGGCTGAGCTGGAGTTTCTAATTGATGCCAACTAGTTTACAGACTAGGAAAGGGTGCAGCCCCAGGGTTGGAGCCGGTGATGTTGGAGAGGGAAGACTCCCCCTGAAGCTGAGAGCATCCAACACGACCAGCTGCAGTTGCTGGGCCAGGGACCCAATTTCCCTTGTCCGGCCCCTTGCACCCTCCATTGCAGACTGAATTCTCCAGAAGCAGACACTGAGGCTGAGTTTGGGGTACAAGATGTTTACTAGGAATGAACACCTGTGAAAAGAAGAGGAAATAGGATTGGGCCGAAGAAGTAGTCAAGCTGCTGGCTTGATTGAGTCTTGGCCACACTGGTGGGAGCCTGGTGTGACCACTGCCTGTGAGTGTCTGTCCCACGTTGGGCTGCAGCAGCCAGGAAATGGTCAGGCTTTTATACCTCACCTCGCTCAGACACCAGATTCAGGCGGCCGTGGGAGGACGACTTCCAGCAAGGTGGCTTTCTGCAGCTGTGGCAGATCCTGAAAGGAGCTGACAGCTGGAAGTTATCCACTGCCTGTACTTCCCAACAGCTACGCAAGTCCTTCCTTGAAGGGGGTTCTGAGGGGCATAAACCTTTGTCTTCCACACTTTCTCAACTCCATCCTTTTATAGGGTTTGCCATCTTGCTTCCAACCAGACACGCTGAGAGGAAGCAATCGTAATTCCTACACTTCCAGCCCCAATATCTGCAGGCTCCCAGCCCCAAACCTGCTTTTAAAAAAACCAAACCCGACGTGTAGTGGGGTTGTTAACCATTGTCACAGGGCAACGTGTACTGTTTGAGAAACTATTTTGCTCTGTAAACCTTCACCTAAAGTGAGAACAGCAGCACAACTGGAAGAGCGTGGTTGATGTCACTAAACTGTGCATGTAGAAATTTTTGAAACGGTGTATCTTTGGCTATGTATATTTTCACCAAAAAAAAAAAAAAAAGTCAAGAAGGGAGAGGGTTGACATGTCGTGGGGCTGTTAACCAATGTCATAAAACAATTATGTGTACTACTGTTTAATGAGAAACTATTTGTTCTGTAAACCTTCACCTGAAGTACAATTAAAAAAAAAACCAAAAAACCAAACCAAACCCATTGCCTTCGAGTCAATTCTGACTCATAATGACCGTACAGGACAGGGTAGAACCGCCCCATAGGATTTCCAAGCAGCGGGTGGTAGATTCAAACCGCTGACCTTTTTGGTTAGCAACCACATTAACCACTGCGCCACCAGGGCTCCAAGCCTGCTATGGCCCCTTTTTGAAGCCTCTGTGGGAATCCCAGTCCCCAAACACCCTCTCCAAATGAGGTCTGCACTTTTAAGCCTTGGCTCTTGCAGGGGATGAAGGGGCCTTCTTTAAGTTTAGGAATTCACTGGATCTGGTAGAGGAGGAGTGGGGTGGGAATGTTGCTCTTCTAGCCATTCAACCTACATTGCAGGCCCATGTGTGCCAGGCACTATGCTGGACACTGGGACCAACCCCCACCACCCAAGCTGATGGCCTAACACCTGCAGGTTTGTATACTGAGGGAGAGGCAGCACTCTGAAATGGCACTGTACCAGGAGACAGAACCAAGATTTGAGGCCCTGTCTCTGACCTTGACTGCTTGCAGGCCCTCCTAAAAGCTGCTTCACCATTCTGAACTTGTTTCCTCCTCTGGACAATGGAGTAATACAGTTTATGGAGCACCATGCTAAAGGCTTCTCTCCTCAAACCTCATTTCTTTTGGTGAAGCAGACACTATTATCATCTGCATTATACACAGATGGAAAGAGCCAGGGGTGTGCTCAAGGTCACACAGGTGCTCAGTGCTGAAGCTGGGCTTTGAGTAGCAGCAGTATGGCTCAACCTTGCTTCTCAATCCTCGGTAAGGGCAGGGTCAAACTGGCCACCTTGGACCAGACCTGCAGGCACACCTGTTTCATCTGGCCCACAGGCGTAAATGATATTTAATGATATTTGAGTCAGCTTTCATTTTTAAATTCAGATGATTCATTAAAAAATTCAGACTTCCAGCCTCTCTTGAAAAACTGACCATCTGGTCACCCTGGGCCACCTTCCCATAGGGTCACAATGGGGAGGAGGTGAACAGCATCCCCTCCTTGAAATGGGTCATGAAGCCAGTGTCCACCTACACCCTCACTCATTTGTTACCAGCCCAGCCCGAGGGATGAGTTTGTCATCCTCAGTGAAGACCACGGGATTCTGAAATAGAGGAGAGTCAGAAGCCTTGAGGGACCAGGTGCCTTGCCCTCCGACACTCACTTCTTCCTGCACAAGGCTGGCATGCAGCTAAATTATATGAACTTAAACTTGCCCAAACTGTTCAGAGAGGATTAAGAAAAAGCACAGACATGCAGAACCACAGGGCGAGGTCGGGGCAAATACACTTTATTCAGTCCTGGCATCAGACTGGCGCAAGTCCTGCTGTGGGTGCCAGTGCCCCAGACGGAGGGACCCCTCCCCTCAGCTACGAAACTAGTTCTCCAAGACCACAGACAGTGACACCTCTTCACTCACATGACATTTTGTTTTTTTCCCATTGTCTTTTTTTGTTGTTTTTGTTAAAAAAAAGAGAGAAAGAAAGAGAGAGCGCGCGCGAGAAAGGCCCAGAGCCGGAGCACCAAGCTTAAAGGAGGCAGCTGGTGGCTTTGTCAGCGACGGGAACGCGTGGGGCAGAGACCTGCAGAGACCCTGGGCAGGGGTCCCGGAGGACTCTGGGACCGTTTGTTCCTGAGATTTGTGTGTGTGAATGAGTGTGTGCACCACCCCGAGGGGGAACACACGGCCGGTGAGATACAGGTAGTGAGGACAAAAGGGGTGTGGGAGGTCGGAGGGGCGGGTCTTCAGCAAGGAGTCGGAATCAAGGAGTAACAGCTATTAGGGGCAGGGACCTGAGGGCACCCTGAACTGGACACCATTTCCTCCTACCCCCATTTCTCGCATGGAAAAATTGAGGTGCAAATGGCCCACCTCCACTACTCTGACTGCACTGTCAATTTTACTGGGTCCAGTCGATGGTCCCTCTCAAGCCAGCTGTTTAAAAGCGCGGCTCTTCCTGCCACCGTATGTATTAAGCCTCAGTCTCAACCCCATAGCACCAACGTGCCTCAGTTTCTCCCAATGAATACTGGGGCTGTGGGTATTGACAGGGAACTCGGGTGACTGGAAAGGGCGGGGGCTTACAGAGCGGTCCCGGTTGGAAGGATACCTAGCGGAGATAGGGCTTTTCTCCAGGGGGAAGGGAGCAGCTGAGGACCTGTCTCCAAACAGGCTGGTAGGTGCCTTGATTCTGAGTTTTCTTGAGCACCCCCTTCTTCCTTGGTGAGGTTCGAGAGAAAGATCCTACCCTCAATCCCCCGGTAGGGAAAGGAGACGTTTCTAGGGACCCAGATAGACTGGGTAACCCCTAAGAGAAAAGGCGTTATGCCACTTGGGAGAGAGCTCCAAGTTCTAAACATACCCATCAGACCAATTAGTCTCTTTCTCCCCTTCCAAGCGCTCCTCCCAATAAGGCAGTGACGCCCCGTCGGGTTGAGAGGAAGCGCCGCGGCTCCGGGATCAAATGATTTCTCAGGATCACTCCACCCCCCCAACTTCTTCCCGGAGCAGGCGGCGGCGAAGTGCGGCTCTCCTGCGACCAGCCCCCTCCTCCCAAGAAGCATTAAGCATGCGCGAGGAGGGGGCGGGGCCTAACCCTTCGAGGATAAGAGCCCCCACCCACGAGAAGGGCGGGGAGAGGGAGGAGCGCGTAATGCCGCCCAGCCGCAGCGCCCCCATAACCGAGAGTGGGGAGCGGGATGGGCAAAGGCGGAGGGATTCAGGAGCAAGGGAGGGGGCGTGTCCTCCGGCCACGAAGAGGGGCGTGTGCAAAGTGGGGGAGGGATGCAGGTCCCTAAGAGAGGATGGGAGGTGTATCGGAGGGGGGCTGGCTGCTGGTGGCAGTGCGGGAGAGGGCAAGATGGGGAGGGGCGTAAATGCTGAAGAAGGGGTGGGGGATGGGCAGCCTTGGGGTGTGTCTGCAGGGGAGGGGCATGTCTGGATCTGTGGGGGATGGGCACGTCTAGGAGGGGGGAGGCTGTGTGGGAGATGGGGTGCCAGCCTCGGCCTCCGAGGGGCCCCAATACCTGATTCCTGTATGTAAACAGCTGGTTTGGGGGCGTGCGCGCCCCGCTGACGGTGGGCTCAGTAGGTGAAAACCAGGTCGGCGATGCTAGACGGGCGCCAGTCCCCCGCGATCATCTCGGTAACCTCGGGGGTGCAGTAGTCCGGGAACTCGAAGTGCGACGTGCCCGAAGGGGGCGGCAGGTCTGGGTCGCGGTCCAGGGCGCTGCAGTCCAGGCCGGCGGGGCCGGGGGGCAGCCTGGTCAGAAAGCCTAGCGGCTCCTCCCCCGACGCCACGGTCTCCTCCTCGCCTTCCTCCGCTGCCGCCCCCTCCTCCTCCTCTTCCTCCGGTTCCTCATCCTCCGACGGTGTTGGGGAGGCGTTGGTGGCTGCCGCCCCCTCGCCCGACGGCCCCTGGGCGCGCTCCACCGGTCCCCGGGCGGCCCGCCCCGCCGGGACCATCCTCCATAGCTCCCGCCCGGGGGTCTCGACCAGGCGCACCTCCAGCAGCTCCTCGTCGTCGTCGTCGTCGTCGTCGTCCTCGGGCGCCGCCGCGCCATCCCCCAAAGGCCCTC